GCGCTCCCGGGCCCGGCGCCCGCGGCCTCCGCCGCTCCCGCCTCCTCCAGCCTCGCGCTGCGCGGCCCTGCGCCCACCACCTGCCCTGCAGTACCCGAACGAGGACCAGGTGGTCGTCGGCCCACTGCGAGATCCACGCCACCACGTTGGGCGCCGCTGGGCCACCATCCTCCGGCGGCGACGCCGACCTTCCCGGCCGCCCCGCCATGTTCTCCGCCTCACGCGGGCCCGCGCAGTGCACTCCGGCCGGCCGGCAGGGGGGACCCCCGCGCTCCGCGCTCTTCGGCCGGCAGGGGGCGCCGCCGTGCTCCGCGCTCCTGGGCCGGCAGGGGGCGCAAGGCTCCCAGGTGGCCTGGCTGCTTTCCCAGCAGCCTCTGGGTGCTTTAGGGGCTGACTTGTCACTCCTTAAGTCAGTTACAGACCCTCAAAGGTCCCTAACCTCTGGTTCTCTCCAGTGATTAATTATCAGTTTGTGGCTTACACCTGGTTTAATTTCTGTGCGTATCACTCAAGAAAGCAAGTTGAAATGGTGCATTCCTATTACATTATGAAGAATTTAAAAACTAAAACTTTGTCTTGGACTTTTCAGAGTTGATTTGTAAATGTACTATCTCTAAATAAGCTCTAAGTCTTTGAGCTATTAACTGACTAAATGTACGGAGTGGCCATGTTAAAAATAATTTTATATTTAATTAATATGATTAAAATCTTTTGAAACAAAAGGCACAAACTCTCCCGATAATACAGTGGTTTTTGTGAAAAAAGAATAAAAAATGATGTGTCATGTGCACAATATGTGTATGTGTGAATGTAGTCAAGGTCCCTCAGCCAGGAATTACCAAAACGGGATCCTGTGTTAGGCAAAGTTAAGGCAAAGTTTGTGCAGTTAACCATATTCCCTTGTATAAAGGCAGTCAGTGGTGTGTACTATTTACTGATAATATTTCCAGTAATTTCCATATACATTTCACTACAGATCTCCAACAAAAGTGGAAATAAAATTATACTAGAGAAATCCAGTTGAAAGACATACAGTAAACAAAATATTTTCTCACTATTTCAAATAAAGAAACTAAACAAATAATGTAAAGTACTACACTACACAATTAGCAAACTTGGCCTGTAAACAGTATAAAGTATTCCACCTGACAAACTCATTTTACTTTCTTCTCTAGCTTACATGGTACATTCTCCAGAACTGACCAGATATTCGGGCACAAAGCAAGCTATTGGGTCCAGTGCGACTCATAATAATCCTATGAGCAACAGATCTGAGCCCTGTGCCACCCTCACAATCTGTGACACACTCGAGCCCATTGCTTCCGTCACTGTGTTAATTCATCGGTCTAAGGATCTTCCTCTCTTTTGCCAACCCTCCACCCTTCCAAGCATGATGACCCTCGAAGAAATAGCCTCTCCTAGTAACATGCCCAAAGTGTGTGATACAAAGCTTCCCTGCCCTTGCTTCCACGGAGCAATCTGGCTTCACCTTCTCCAAAACATATCTGCTTCACCTTTTGGCAGTACATAGGCTATTCAGTACTCTTAACCAACACCATAACTCACAGGCACCACTCCTTCTGTTATCCTTTTTCGTTGTTCAGCTCGGAGATGCACAACAGGTGATTGGAAATATTATTACCTGAATCAGGCACACCTTAGTCTTTAAACTGACATCATTACTCTTCAGGAATTTGGAGAAGTTCCTGATAGCAAACATTCCTAAAGCTGTTGTTGTTGTTAGGTGCTGTGGAGTCAAGTTCCACTTACAGTAACCTTTTGAAGAGCAGATCTGAGCCCCACCCTATCCTGCTCTGTCCTTATCCTCCCTGATACATTTGAGCCTGTTGCAGCAGACACAATATTAATCTACCTCATTGAGGGTCTTCTTATTCACTGACCCCCCCACATTTCCAAGCATAAGGTCCCTTTCCAATGAATAGCCTCTGCTAGTATGCCCAACTGGAAGAAGGAGTGGCATCCACTTCCATGATAGCTTGCCTCCGGAAACCCTATGAACCTGGAGAGAGGATGAAAGGCACCCAAGCATTGAGGACTCTCCTTCATAGGGTCGCTATGAGTCGCCTGCGACTCGACAGCACTTAACAACAACAACAACAACAACAATTGTCCAAAATACGTCAGATGAAGCTTGCCCATCTTTGCCTCCAGAAGCACTCTGGTTACACTTTTCCCAAGACATATCTGTTCACTTGGCAGCCCATGGGATATTCAGCGCTCTTCTCCAACACCACAACTCAAATGCATCAGTTCTTTTCTTGTCATCCTTATTCATTGTCCAGTTCTTAGATGCATAGCAGGTAAATGGAAAGACTGGCTTGAATCAGATACATTTTAGTCTTTAAACTGACATCATTGCTCTTCAAAACTTTGGAAAGATCCCTGATAGCAGATTTTCCCAATGCCATGTGTTTCCTGATCTCCTGACTACTGGCACTACTAAGGGTGTTGCCTGGATCCAAGCAAGAAGAAATCGTTAACAATATCAATCTTTACTCCATCAGGATCCTGCAGTGAGGCTGATATTGTACCGCAGAGTGTGGCAGGGACCCTAAATTTGCATGATTGGGGGGGTCACCGTTGGCACCCAAGTTCTGTGTCCAGGGTTTCCCAGTAGGACGCTGAAGTAAGAGTAGTCCAAGCTGAGGCCAGCAGCACAGCAAGTCCAAGCCAGCCAGCTGCTCGAGACCTCAATGATAACCCTGTTCCAAAGGAGACTCCCCTCCTCAGCAGAACTACAATGTGGGGACCGGAAACTCTTTCCCCGACTGGGGAACTCTGTCCATCGCCTGGGGCCTCCCCTGCTCTGTGTCAGAATGTTAACTGCAATATCAGCAGTTCCACTACCACAGCAGCTCCACAGTCCTTCAGAAACACGAGGGAAGGTCACAATGAATTGAAATAAACTTGTTTGGCATGGATTTAACACACATTTTTATCGCACCATTATTGATAGTAGCAAAGAAACAGAAACAAGCCCAGTGCCTATCAATGAACGAATCGATAGAGAAACTAAAATACATTCATACAATGGAATACTGTGCAGCAGTGAAAAATTCATGAAGCACTTACATAACACAGATTAGTCTAGAGGACATTTGTTGTTGTTGTTGTTGCTATTGTTGTTGTTGTTGTTGTTATGTGCCGTCGAGTCGCTTGCGACTCATAGTGACCCTATGTACAACAGACCTAACTAAACTCTGCTCTGTCCTGTGCCAATCGCACTGTCTCTGACACTCCCATCCCGATTATCCCAGTCACTGAATCAATCCACCTCATAGAGGGCCTTCCCTCCTGCGCTTGTCCCTCCACCCTCCCAAGCATGATGTCCTTCTCCAAGGACCAGTCTCTCCTCACAACATGTCCAAAGTATGTTAGACGGAGCCTCAGAATCCTTACCTCCAAGGATCCACCCGGTTTAACCCTTTCCAGGACAAATCTGTTTGTTTTCCTAACAGTCCATTATGCTGAGTTAAATAATTTAGTTCCAAAGGGACAAACGCCATGGAAGACCATCAGTAAAAAATAAAACAAGGAGAGACTCAATCTAGTATGGCTGTGGGCTGTGGAGAGCAGAAAATTAATGGCGAGAGAGCCAAAGAGGAGGAAGTAGAAAATTTCTACCAGCTTTGGCAGTCAGAGATTGATCGAACATACAGTCAAAATGCATTAATATAAACAACTAAGTTTTAGAGCTGAGCTTTGGTTATTAAAAGTAATTGAAAGAACTAATAAAAAAGATGAATTAATAATAATGGGTGACTGGAATGCAAAAAGAAAGACCAGCAGTTGGAAAACATGGACTCGGTGACAGAAACGAACCCAGAGATAGAATGATAGAATTTTGCACAGTCAGCAGCTTAATCATTGCAAATACATTTTATAAGAAACATAAACGCAGACTATACACATGGATTCCAACTGATGGTATGCATAGGAATCAGATCGATTACATCTGTGGAAAGAATTGCTGGAGAAGCTCAGTATCAGCTGTGAAAACTAGGCCAGGTGCTGATTGTGGGACAAACCATCAACTACTCATATACAAGTTCAAGCTAAAGTTGAGGAAAATTAAATCAAGTCCGCAGGAACCAAAATTTGACCTTGAGTCTATCCCACCTGAATTTCAAAACCATCTCAGGAACAAGTTTGAGGCCTTGGACATCAATGAGCAAAAACCAGATGAGCTGTGGGAGGATATCAAGAATAATCATCCAGGAAGAGTGCAAAAGGTCATTACAAAGTCAGAGGAAGAAGAAAAGACCAAGATGGATGTCAGAAGAAACTCTAAATATTGCACTGGAGTGCTGAGAAGCCAAAGCAAAGGGAAGAAACCAAGATATTAGGAGATTCCAGAGGGCAGCATGGGAAGACAAAGTAAAGTATTACTATGAAATGTGCAAGGAGCTGGAATCAGAAAATCAAAAGGGCCAAACTCGCTCAGCATTTCTTAAGCTCAAGGAACTGAAGGACAAACTCAAACCTTGAGTTGCTATACTTAAGGATGCTTTCGGCAGAATATGAAATAATCCAGGAAGCATTAAAAGAAAAGGGAAAGGGGAGGCAGTCTTTGCGGCCAAGACCCCCTGTCCTCCACAGATCTGTAATAAAGTGCTTTTATTGGGGGCCGCGGGGAAGAAGGTGGAAAGGGTATACAGAGTCATTGTACCAAAAGGAATCTGTGGACACAGAAGCATTTCATGAAACAGTGTATGAGCAAGAGTCGGTGGGGATGAAGGAAATTCTGAAAGAATTCTCAAAAAACAAGGCCCCAGGAATAGATGGCTTACTGACAGAGCTGCCCTGGATGTGCTCACCAAGTTGTGCCAAAAAATCTGGAGAACAATCCCCTGGCCTACTGACAGGAAAATATCTATATGTGGTCCCATTCAAAAGAAAGGTGAGCGAACAGAGTGTGGAAATTATTAAACAGCATCGTTGATATCACATGCAAGCAAGATTCTGCTGAAGATTATAAAAAAATGACTGGAACAGCACATCACATCAACAGAGAACTGACTAAAGTGCAGGCTGGGTTTAGAAGAAGAGGTCATGGCACTAGGGATATTATAGCTAATGTCAGATGGATCTCGGCTGAAAGCAGAGAGTACCAGAGGAATGTCT